TCGAGCGAACTTAGCCAAGAGGCTTTGCACTTTGCTTCTGTCTCCTCGGGGATTAAAGATCTATCTTTGTTCTATTCCCAAATATTATCATTATTTCCAGATATAATTCCAGCCTATTATTATGTAATATGGAGCTGGATTAATATTTGGAAACAAGCAAAGTTGAAGAGTCTCACGTCAGACAAAAGAAGGGAAAGCTTGTTAGATTCCGTTCCTTGACTGCGGCTAGACTTCCAGCTTGGTGGATGCTTTACGCAGTACGGGCTCAGCAGTGCCTGTCACGGTAGAGTATCGGTTATCTGACCACGTGAACGGCCAGATTGGTCGAGATTGCAACGAACTTTTTTCCCACGAGTGAACCACTCTCGGCTAAATCTAGTAGGACGGCTACGAGGGGGACCCGGCGGTGAGAACAAGACTTCTCTGGCGAACCCCTGAAGCAGTAGAAGCTTTCGCTGCATCCGCCTGAAATTCGACACTTCCCATGAAACACGTGAAAACGTGGTGACTTATTGCTGAAGCCGCATACTGTGCCTCATGTATATTGCTCGTTGTCTGTGCACAACATCAAGCCTTCTTCGTGAAATACCACTAGAGAAACGGCCTCGCAAATCATGGAGCAAATAAAAAGCTCGGGCGATGACCCCCCACTGTCTTTTTTTATGCAGGCCACCTGCGGCATTGGGAAAAGACTCGGCTGTGGCCAAATGAGGTATCCGACAGAACATCGGAATAGTCCTCACGTTTCTGACCCTTGGTCCGGAGTTTTATACCTTTAGGCCACATGACGACATGCGCTTCTCACCGTAATCAAAACTATTTCTGAACGTGGAGTTCAATTCTTACCATTTACCTATTAATTGTGTTGATTTCCATATTATTATATATTAAAAACCATTTCATGTTATCAATATAATTACCTCATACTACTACAATATCTTGCTTATGTTTTTTTTTTCACATCAGTTTCTTAGATCTGTAAGTGTACCAAATCAAGATAGTCCATAAAAGAAAATTCTTGATCTGTATTGAATGTGGATTTTAATAGCAAGTTACTTTAAATTCCTATTACGAAATATAATTGATTTATAAACCTAGAGTTTAACATGTAAATGAACTAAAATCATATGCAATCATCATGGCATGCATACCAATATGTAATCGAATGTAAGGATTTGATTCCAAAAGAAATAAAAATTGAGAAGTAAATTTTCATACATTTGTTTCCAAATATATATTTGGTGCTAAAGATTAAAAAAATTTAAGAAATTGACTCAATCAAAACTGTAAATTATTTGATGTTGAGAAAAAGCATCATATTGAATATAAGATATTCTAAGACTTTAAAACAATGTGCAGTACTCATGTTCAATGTAATATTTGTGTCATAATACTTTTCTATCAACCTATATGCATTTCATTTATGAACGTAGATCATTTCAATATGGAGTTACATAATTTTTTATTTTTTTAAGAACACTTCAAGTGTATTTCATCATAATGATGCTTTGTTGAAAAACTTAATCATGTCACTGAAACCCTTAGCCAACTCTCTTATATATCGTTATTTAGTTTAAACTATTATAGTTCAAGAAACTAGAGCGAATCAAGATCTGCGCTAATTATCAAGGATTTTCCATTGACTAATTTCTTTGTATCCGTAGACTCTAATTCCTCTGCAATAGTCTGGTGGAAAGAGTTAGAACGAAAACTATATAAGTACTTCTTTAGATTACAATTTTCTAGACTATCCAGATTCGAATTATATATTAATATTACAAGATTATTATTTCATTGTACTTGTGGTCCTTATTCAAAATAATACCTTTAATCAATGTATCAAAGAGATTAAATTTTTTATAAGTTCTGATTTAAACAAAATTGTTATAAAAAATATCTATTTTAATAAAGTGATATTCGCGTGCAACATATAAAATATTCTCATAACAATTCTTCTCTATTATTTATCGTCAATCTTGTTATTTAATCGAGTCAAAGATTTACGATCTATTTACCAAAAGGTGCAAAAACCAAGAGCCCATTTGTTGGACGCCGTGCTTCTTTCCGCCCATCAGCCCCTTTGGGAACATCTAATATCAAAACTTAATCACTGATAGTAGAATCCAAGTCAAGGAAGATCTCAGGAGTAACGTGCTACTTACTCACTTTCCCCAAAAAAATGTATTGAAGTCGTCATCACCTCCATCCACCAGCTATTGCGGCTTTGTTTCCTTCTACACCGTGGATCCAGCGAATCGAAAACTCATCCTAACACTACTCCTCCACTGTTCTATTGCATTTTGAAGCTGACCATTCCATTCATCTAATCCCTCTCTTTCACTCTCACACATACACCAACATACAGTTGAACAATCTCCAGTCCAATTTCAACTACATTGGAAAATTGCAACTTGGATATTAGCTGTATAGGCCGACATCCGCCGATCCCAAATCATTATTTTGTGCGGTATCTCGGAGTCCAAAAAGGGAGAGCGTCCCAAACAACAACGCGGACCGCTTGCTTAAGTAGTCCAGGGAGAAGAAAGGCTTGAAGAAACTCACGATCCTCAACAAGCTCATCACCATGCGCTCAGATCAGAATCTTTCGCAAGCATATCTCCTGTATCCAATTCCTCAAAAATATACTGGCAGTCTTGTAAAATCTCAACGTTGCACATTATCTGCGAACGTAAAGCAGGACGCACCAGATCGAGAGGGCGGATTTGTGAAAAATTTGCTTTGGAATTCAAGCCATGAGGTCTAAGAACCAGAAGAAACACCTCTACATGCTTACCAAAAGGCGCAAAGAAGGTTGGCGATGCAGATTAGGGAAGTCCAGTGGCATATTTTGTCGTTCCCAAAATGTCAACGTAGGGAAACTTCACACATGAACTCATTTTGAAGAAAGGAAAAAAATATATGCTGATACTTAGAAGATCCCTCTAGAATACTGTAGAATCTGCAGCAAAACTATCAACGGAAGCAGCATTTCGGAACGCACGAAAAGTGTTCCTAAAATACAACATAAAAAAGTACTCATACTGAGAAACACGGTCCAACTTAGGAGAAATGACTGAATCATTACAAGCTGTAGTTAGCATTAAGTCCATCATTATCTTCTCTTAACAATTCTTTTGTCTGATATTAGGAAATAGTCAGGAAATGATATAATATGTGATGTATAAGAACTTAAGTATGAAGCTCCAATAAATTCAACATTATAAGTTCCACAGTGAGATAGAGTATTATCCAAGATAGGAAAATTTGAGAGCCTTCCAGCTATTACAGAAGAGTGCTAAATCATATGGTTGTATTTGAAGCTGATATCAAGTAGAAAATAGAAGATAATGATGGCGAAGATTGGTAAGACATGAAGAGCGCCTGGACGGGTTGTAAATTGCTCTCGATTTCATATATTTGGAGTTGGGCCGTTTGGTACTTGTACGGCTCACGTATAGTATGTTACGATCCAGGCAAGTTAGACGGAGACTGAACCATTGGACAACGCAGTCATTCTCTCCTCTCCAGTCTCCTGGCTTTAAATAGAATATTTTCCTCAAGATATGTAGATATGTACATGTTTCTGATTTGAAGTGCACTAAGAAATACTTGACCATACTGGCACGTACATGTACTTTTCTTTTCTTAAATATGGTACAGTTAGGGTTCTGTCAACTTTTTGAAGACACTATTCTAAGATTACCGTTACTGTACCTTCGAATATAAAAGTTGAAAAAAACAGGCGAACTGGAATTCCTGCTAAGAATGCAATGCAACCTAACAGGTTCCCTTGTCGCATCGGATGTTCTGAAAAGTAATAAAGGCAAAAGTACAAGTTGGCAACTCTCTGAATAATTGATTGGAGTCGACACCAAAAGAGTCTGAAAGGAGATTGCGCCCACTTTCCACCTTCCTACGTTCCGAAGGTTTGTATTCATGTTTTCGCACCAAACCCCAGAGCTTTCGTCGTAAACGTCTGTCGCGACATCAATTAAGAGACATTAATTCATCAAATCTAGACACACGTTAAATGTGCCTTTGACAGAAGATGTTTGCTCGCATAGCCAAAATACGTAGTCACAGTTGGCACGCTGAACAGTCTCACTCAGTCGGAGATAGACAAGCTATCTGGTGAAAGTCGATGTACACCCAATTCGTTGAGCCTCCAGGGTTGCTTGTAAATGAAGCTTGATCCATTCATTCATTCCAAAAGAACGGGTGTTGTGCAACCTGGCCAATTGAGAGTGAGTTTTCCCTGGCAAAACGAGATCAGAGTCCAATTTCTTCCTATGCATTTGACCATTTGTCCCACTTGATGAGATTGCATCAGAATCCTCCATGTTCTAGGCTCGGCATTGGATACTGACCTGGTCCTGATCAAAATGTCAATAGCTGTCCTAGTTCCCATAGATCATGATCATCAATAACCTGGACGTACAAAGAGGCCTATCCGCAAGTCCAGGCGCCCTTAAGCAGTGATCACTGCTTATATCGGCAGACATTCGCTATTGCCCTTTGAATAAGGCCGCCTTGACGTGTACAAAGAATTTCCAAAAACCCTAGCCTGCCACTCAGGTTGAACTCTACTCCGCTTTAAATACACATGAGTTCATGTTAGAACATTTCCATACATATCCCTCGTTTGAGTTAGTCAAAATCGATGGTTCTACTTTGATGGTCACTCGTCAAACGACATCGAAGGTCAAAATCGTACAGATATACAAGAGCCCGTTAACTCATGATTCATCTTCTCCAAGTCAGTCCAAATATCTGTATGCCCTGCACCAGCCCACGACCCATGTGTCATTCAAGGGCCCTAGACTTCGGCATAGGGTCAGCTGCGTGGCAGCAATTCTAAAGAGCACATTTCCAAAGCAAGCTTTAACGACTATATACATTCCTCGAAGCGTTATTTCACACAAATAAATACTTGACGTAAATAAAAGCAGTCCATGCTTTCATTGAAATAGACCAAAACATCAAAAAATACAGGTGCACGTGGAGAAAGACAATAGTTTAGGGTGAACCCTGAGAGCCAGCACTGTTCAAACACTGGTACAATTAACCCCACCGCACCAAACTTCCATCAAGTGTTAAAACAATGTGTAAGCATTGTGCAAGGGTCATCATAAGAAACCCGACGCACCACAACAACTCCATGATGGCTAATCTTTGTAAGCCCAATCTTCTCCCATCAGCCCGAAATCCCTTTCTATCAGGAATTTGCCCTAAGGGCTGCGCTGTGTCAGCAAGAATACCTAAGAGGAAATGCTACGATTCATCTATGCTACTAGTGACTGGGTAGGAATGCAAATGTGTAAGCGCTACAGCAAGACGTAAGAAAAAATTACAGTATCTCTCCCTGTAGTGAAACTAGGTAATAAGAATCTAAACGGGCAGGATTACCAGGGAGCTATGTTCCAGACGGAGTGGCAAGCCAACACCCTTTAGACTGTATCGCTGTCAGTGGAAAGTCAAACGAGGATGAATGCTGGCCTTACCCACCCTTATATTCGCATAGGACCACGAAACTTCATGACCCACGAACTGAACTTGGTCCGACCAGGTCATTTACTGGCTGTGCTCAAATATGCCTTCACTGGTTCAAAACACGTAGACTTGCCGATTACCCCCACAACGTGCGTTAAATCCATGCTCTGAAAAAACAACCGACGGATACCAAAATGAGGCCTCATCTCAAAACCTTTCCAAGCAACGGTGCAATTATAAGCAGGTTGACTATTTTCAAGTACCTAATATCGTATCGGCGACAAACAAAAAAGGCAGCACCGCAATGCTCCAGACTAGAGTCCAAGCCAAACAAAGTGTCAAAATTACAGACATAGTCTGCCATGTAGGAAAAATATTTGGCACAATCTTTGAATATTCCTAAATCAAAATCCTTTTGAAGCTAAGTTGAAAAAACGGATGGAAAGAATCGCAAGTCGACTCATGAGGATCAGGTCAATGAAAGAAGACGTACAATAGCATCTGGATCGATAGTCTTCAGGCTACAGCGCATATGAAGACTACGATCTCAAGTAGCTTTCAGTTGTAGTAACTCCCAAACCAATCGTCTCCTGAAGTATGGCATGTCCCCCTGAAATAACAATAGAACAAAACATAAGAAAAGACTAGGAACCTCAGATATGTGCCGTGAGAGTTACTTGTTCCACCTCAGAAATTAAAAAAAATACCGCACCCTAGGCACAAACTAGTATAATTGGGCTCACCTGTTTAAAAGATAGAGGTACACCACGGCTGTGGAAGTCCGCATACTTCAACATGAACATGCCACAGTCACATCTGGACGTTTCAAGGCAGGATCCAGGAGCATTAATATCTATACAAGGTTGGACATACCCAGGATCGATACTGAGCAGTAGTTGACATTTTAAGAGAACGCTCGAGCATAATTCCCCCAATAAACAGAACTCGCAAGTCAAAAGGTGAAGTCGCAAATATAGATATATCTAGCAGTACATAAATGTACTGATATTCCATCGTTCGAAGGAACAGCAGATAAACTTATGATAAAAGAGAACTTTACGGCATAGACCTCACAGGTGTTAGAGTTTCAGGTTCTAAATTCTCTCCTAAGGAATGCACAACAGGATGTAAATCTAGAGCCAAAACTTACCCGTTAAGTTGCTGGGGAATGTCTTGGGGGAAGTTATGTTCCCATGTATTTGAGTCCAATACTTTTCCATCTTTATCCTTAGCTTCATCAGCGATATAGCGAGCCTGCACGACACAGTTACCACCTTTTCACTACAAGGTATGCACGTGGATATTGAGAATCTAGATCCTTTTCAAAAGAGGACAATTCAGGCACTGAATAAACCTTCAGAGAAATTGGACCAATTAGCAACTATTTGGTATGAAGGATTTCGAAGAGGAAAATAACTCAAATATATTTCAAATAACTCGGGGTATGAAGAAGCTTCGAAGAGGAAAATAAAGCGACGATATGAGGTCGTGTGCGCAAGGGATAACAAACTTACAAGAACTTTCAGAACTGTATTATCACCACCTTGCAAGGAATCAAGATACTCAAGTTTCTTGTCACGGATGTTGATGACGGCTAAACACCAGTGAATATCTTGATGAATTGGAACCAAAATCTGCAGAAAAAGAGCATGTTGCAATGTAGTCAAGTTTCTGTGTTTGGAAGTCATGCATATAGAAGGCCTTGATAAGTTCCTTGAGCACAAAATTAATCAGGAAATTACGACATTGAACTGCTCTTCACCTAGGAGGCGAAGTAAAATCTGATCATCCAGATCCTAACCTTGAACTCTGGTTTCTACATCGTACAACCTAATGAGTCCCCCAAAAGGGAGTGGAATGTACACATTGATAAAGCACCAATGCATTTCAGCAAATCAGGAATGCTCACCAGGGACTAGTTACGGTTCAGGCTATCGACAACAAAATGCAAGATGATGATTCGGCTAAACTAAAGTTTAAAATGTACCTTATCACAATCTGATAAACTGTAGCCCAGTTTCTTTTGAGTTGTCCATCTGCGAACTGCCTTGTAATCGTAGCTTCGTTTGTCCTTAAACAACTGCCAAATAGCCCATACTACTTGGTTATCCTCCAGGTTCAGCCTTAGCATATGTTGCAGAGCTTAAGCGATGAAAGCCTCTACTTGGTAAAACATCCGTGACGTTGAGAAAACCTTCAGCGCAACAAATTACTATGAACTATTTGTTCAAGTGAGGGGTTCAGCTAAGTGACTTGCTCTGACGCATATTCTGTGGGAGCTAAAGACATGAACATGTGGAGACTTCCGCTTCTGATGCAGCCTCGAACCCTCTTGATTCCGTTAGTTAGTTAGTCTAGATAGGAACAGGGAAATCGCCGGAATGTATGTGCCCAAGGGATCTCAGCTATTTAACGAGTACAAGCAAAGATGATCTTCAATCCGTCATAATCAAACAATTTATTAAATCATATCAAGCGTGCAGTTCAAAGACTGTATAAAGCAGACAAACGCTTTGTTAAGAGCACTACACTGCATCCTCGCACACAGTCTACATAGATTATGTTAAATACTTGGATATGTTAAATTATGTTCTACAATTAAAAATGAGCATGATCGAGAGCTATCGGTTATTAGATCGAGAGCTTGGCCCCACAGATCTCTATATTGGAGAGGTGGAAATGTCATGTGTACTTTCGAAAGCAGAGAGAGAGAGAACGAACAGATTTCTTCTGCCTCAAAATCACCGAGAATTCGTAGCACTTACCAGGTGAAATCTCTTACCTTGTTATAGAAGAAGGTATTAAAGAAGTGACACTTGAGGAACTTCTTGGGTTCCTGGACTTCCCTCTCTTTCAACAGCTCCATGTACAGATTGATTACCTGCATTACAAATGTTGAACAACGGTATCAAAAGCACATCAGTACTGAGGATACTAAAGTAATTGCATACATATCGAAATAAATTTCTAGACAGCCTGAGCTCCAATATCTCCAAAAGAAGAGCCAGTAGATTGATTTACCTCGTCATTGAGCCATGCCCCGGGTAAAAGGCACTGCATAACTGCCCTAGTCACGTCTATACTAGACTTTTTATGGAATGTGAGAACCTTGCTTCTGCACAGGTAGAATTGAAATTAGACAAGTCACATCATTAGCATCGTGAACCTCCAGCTCCAAGCTGATGATTTTTCACGATCAGAAGCATTCATTACTAAACATAGGAAAAATGCTTCTGCTGCTTTCTGGAAAATCAAAACAACACGGTGTGCAAGTAAGCAGCTGACAAATTACCTATCTGAACCTTGAAGTGCATCGTCTATGTCCTCCTCTGCTTCTTCCGATAGAGGCGTAAAGGCTTCAGCCTGAAGTCATGGTGAGGGAGGCCAAACATCTCAGATTCGCACACAAGTGGGAAATGAACATACCTGGGAGAAATCTTCGACATGCCTTCTAAATGCGATACTCGCAACTCTCTCTACCTCTCTTTCAATCAATGGAAAAAATACACAACCAACACTTGGGGGAATATGGCACGTACTACGTCCTTCACGTCCTTCTTCGCCTTAGAGATTGTGGGGCGTCTCAGCGACAGGGCAGCCAATTGCTTCTCCGCGAACTCCGCCTCTAACTTCAAAATTTCCAACTTCGGATCGTAGGATTTAGTGCGATCATATAGTGCTCTCCAATCGTCGGGCTTCGCGAAGTGAGAATCACCACCGCGCTCGATTCTACTTGCCAATTTGTCGTGATCAGCGACATTTCGTCCCTGCTGAGTGACCACATCAGAAATTTCGCCCGACGAATCCGAACCCATGACGGGAACAGCCTTACTAAGCACGCTATCGGGAGAAACGTATCGAGCTTCCTGTAGATTACTACAAGTCTTGGAAATATCCGCAAGCCGTTTCTCGTCGCCTTGAATAGAAGCAATACTTTGCCTGTAGGCCTTAAGCATCTCGGAGTCGAGCTCTGACATTTCTAATTGTTCTACATCCTCCGTCCTCCCAGAACTCAAATTGTTGGACACTCTAGGCTCTGGTCTCACGGCATGTAATTTCTTTTCCAAAGCCCTATTCTCGTCTTTCAGCTTGGACAAAACGATAGATTCCGGTAATTCTTTCGAGACTAACCGCTCCCTACACATGTCATTCAATCGCGTCTCGGACATATCTGTGGTAAGCCTGTACCAGCCTTTCGAGACTCCTAACTTTTTACCAGCATCGGACCAATCTGCACCTCTGCCCGTGCATAATGAACTGTATAATCGAGGTCCGAATGAGCTCCTAGCGAGATGCGAAGGCAACTCTGAAACTGTAGCTGAGCTCAAAACCTCCGGAGTACTGCATAAACCTAGAACATTCACCGGCGAACGAGCAGAAATCCCCGCTACTGTATGGTTGTTCCAAGGCCTGCGGGGCGAATAATGGCGCTGACGTCGAGGGGTCCTAGGAGTCCAAGGACATTCATAATGACTACCTGCAACAAAGCTGGATCCTTGAGCCACAAGAGGTCGTCCTGCGGGGGAATTCCCTGTCACCGCAAAGGACGTTCCATGCCTCATTCTGCTCAAAGGAGTGGTAGCAAAAATTTTATACTGATCCTCAAAAGCTTGCAGGAACGATTTCTTGGGGTGTTGCCCCTTGTCGCTTGTCGGGGACGAGTTGCTAAGATGAGCCTTCTTCCGCTTTGTTGACAAGGGTAGCGAGCTCTGATCATACATATCATCGAGGCGCCTTTTGTATAGATTATTTACCATCTTAAACCTTGCACCAAGGTACTGTAAAAAAATTTGTCAGCGTCTTTTGATCTTCTTGGAGTGAAGTTGGAAATTACAAAGAACGCAGTCCTTGGACCGCAAATATAGTCTGTGGCTTTGGGCCATGGAACAATCGACGGTCGGGTAATTACAAATGACGCTGCACAACCATGACCGAGATTGCCACTCCGCAGGCCACTAGTCGATAAAGAAAACGCTATCGCTCCTTCCACAGTAGGAAAAGCAGCACCAGAAGAGTGGACGTTCAAATACGAAATACCAACGCTTGTACACCTTCTACGTGTAACGGTACATCGAGCTGCTCGAAGAAAAAGCCGTGAAAAATGTCGGCGCCGAGCCAAAATATATGTGCGCTCGCAAAGCCCCAACAAGCCACTAGACTCCACCGCCGTATACCAATTTATCGGACATGCGGAGTCGAGGTCTCTCAATGCGATAGCCTGGCAGCAAAGATCCTCTCTCTCTCTCTCTCTCTCTCTCTCTCTCTCTCTCTCTCTCTCTCTCTCTCTCTCTCTCTCTCTCTCTCTCTCTCTCTCTCTCTCTCTCTCTGAGATCACGAACTCACGCGCGAAGCACTGGCGACAGAAAAAAAGGGCAGACCGCTGCTCGACACCGAGAGGTAGGATCTAGGGCACCCACACAGCAAAGAGTACAAACTCAACGCACGAGCAACCCCTGGGATTCAGGAGGAACAGCGCGGGCCTCCAATGACCAGCAAAAATGTGCAGAGGCGGAAAGACCTCGACAAATAGCGCACGGAAATTCCAAAATTCCAGTGCAGCGAGCGGAGGAGGGTCCAGGAAGCAGCAGCAGAGGAGGGACACAGCGCGTCCGGGATGAAGCAAGCAGGAGGAGAGGGCTTCGGAGCAGGACCCGGACAAGTAGTGCAAGTCGTCGACAGAGGCGAAGAAAACGACGAAATAATAAAAGGCAGTCGGCCGATTCGAATGAGAAGCGCGAGCGCAGCGATCAAGTCATAAAGGAACGACCGAAGCGAAGTGCAGTCCGACGAGCCTGTAATAATTGGCAGACACGACACATCCGAATCATCAATGGTACAGCACCGGCACCACCACCGCCCCCACCTTCCTTCGTTCCTGCCCTCGCCTCGCGCTCGCTCCTGCTGCTGCTCTCGCACTGCGCAGCTTTCCCTCTCTCTTGCCTCTCGAATCAATCCAATCTCCGCGTGCCCCATCTCCTCACGGGCTCGGGCCAATGGCGCCCGCGCTCCGCTGCAAGTCTTCTGCGCAAAGCCACTTCTCTCTCCCTGCCAGAGGCCACGCAGTCGGCCCGGCCCCACAGAATGTCCCGCCTCTGTATCCGCTAACTGCTACTCTTCTCTCTTCGACTTTTTGAATTCGAAGCTGTGCTAACATGTACGCGGTTCTCTCCCCCTCCCCCTCCCCCCTTCCCCGCTTTGACTTCTACGCCCACGCCCGTCCGCATGCCATGTACGTACGTGTTACGGCGATGCGTTTCACCGCAAACCGTTAATTTCTACGGCGGGCTGCCTGCGTACGACCTGCATTAGCACGAGCGTCGCGACAGGCTCACGATTTCAGCGTTGCCATGCCTCGATCATTATCGATCTCTCTCCGTCTGGTACACAGCTCGGCCCAGGGCATTCGGCTGTGCACTGTTTCGTGCAACCATGAGTCGTCTAGATATGGTATCGGTTGACGTATCCTTACTCGTCTTCAGCGTTCTTTTGGACAAGAAGAACTTCATTTTACTGTCTGATGTGTAAGGCTTCTTAGAATTTGGATCCCGCTCACTGTAAATGAGTTAACCAGTTTTCTTTTTTAATCATATTCTTTGCTTTTCACTACTAAGTTCAGGTTCTATAAAATTTATATTTTAAGATCTGATGATAATATATTACATTTCAAAAACTATAATTACATTATATTTTATAATTTAATCCTATATTATGATTCAGTATTTCATCCTTTTGCATTATATTACAATAAGATAGGCAACACTATATGAATAATATCGTTAATACTCTTGATATGAACGTTATATCCTTAACATAATACTTTCTTCAACAAATTTTTCTATCATTTAAATTTAAAATCTTATAAGAAAACTAATATTTTAAATATTAGATTGTAAAAAAATTTAATCCATCATTTTACATTAAAATAGAACTATGATACTAATAGATCATCAAAACGCCTTGATTATTACTTCAATTCTGCAACTTTGATCTTACATAGAAACAACATACCAATATTTTATAAAAATTTCAACATTTCATACTAAAATCAATTCTAAATCGAGTTTAATCACAAGAATTTCATGTTAATTTCAAATTTCAAAATTAAAACAAATATCTACAAAATAATCTCATAACATACGCTTAAGTAAACAATGATGATGCTTTGAATTACATCTTTGCAATATCATTATTGCTAAAATTTGGATCCATGAAACTTAAAGTATATGAAATGTTTAAGTCAGTGTAATTAAATTAGTACTGAAATATATTTTTAAACCTCAATCAAAATTTTGATTTTCATGTAACTTATCATTTTGTTCAAAGAAACATAATATCATAGGCAAAGATTATACCAGTAATCTATTTAAATCTCCAAAATGATTTTTTATTGCATTTGAATATATAGATTTACTTATTAAATATTATTATTATTATTAACTATAAAGATAAATATTTTATGGATTTAAAATTTTGATTTACTATCATAACGTTGAGTATTGACAAAAAATGAAGCTTTTTATCAATTAACCTATAAGTTTCAATTTCATAACGTGATATCTTTTTTAATTGGTTTAAGTTTTATTTTCTAAAGATATTATACATCTAAATCTCAAAAAATAATCATAATTACAAATAATATTTTAATCATTTTCTGATCATTTTATTCTGACACAAAAAAATTTACAACCTCTATGTTGTAACATTAATTTTTTGATATTTAGGAGTACAATGTTATTTGATTATGATACAGCATATGCAGGCATGGATATAATAGTCTTCCGCCTAAATTACCTAAATACGTATAATTTAGTCTTCTCGAAAAGATTACTTTAGTCTATTCAAAAACATTAATTTAGGCGAATTTAGTCTCCTTACAAAGTTCATTTGGCTAATTTCGTATACAAAAAAGATAATTTAGACCAGTTTAATTTCTAAAAAATAAATTTAGGCTAATTTAGTTTACTAACAATTTTTTCAGAGTAAATTTTTTTGGAAAAGTTTTCCTAACAAATTTACATTAATGTATAAAAAATAAAATAAAACATCCATCAATTCTGCATATGTGTCCACTCTCCATTGGTTATGACATGTACATGCCAAATCGTAACCCCCTAAATTTAGTCGCCTAATCACCATAAAGTTTGGGTAATTTAGGCGACCTTATATACGGTCGCCTAATACAACCATGCCTGAGCATATGTCATGATATCCCTACATTTTGACTAATCAACTCATCAATCTACTGAAATTTTGCAATCATCTCAAGCTCATAAAAATAAACTACAACTTAATCAATTTAAAATAGATTTTATTAATAATTTATTATTTTTTGTTATATGTCAATGATTTATGTGATTTTTTTAAGTCACAATTTAGATGTTTTACTTCATATGTTAGTTGAGAATTACACATGTATTTGTAAGAGTTAGTGGATAATAATATGTAAATAATAATAATTCTCATTGTAAATGCTGAAAAACTCTATTTATGAATTCAAAGTACCTTACAATTATTTTTCATCTTCATGTTTTATGTAACGTCTTAAAGTATCTACTCTCATGATCTACATTGTTACAAATATAACATAGGAAAATTTTGAGTAAAATAATACAATATTTTAATCATTAAAAATTTATCAACATATACATGAAACTTTTATAACATATTTTACGACATCAGTATATTATTTCATTAATTCAATATTAAATTGATGATAATAATGATAAAATTTTACAGTTGTTTGCCAACAATTTACGTATTATATTTTAAATTTTTTTAAAAACTTTTATTGTTATATATTTTGCTCAAAATTACACTCAACATATACAAAACCTCAATCATAATTATTATTGATAGATTAATTTTATCACTGTTTATTATATCGGTTACAGTTTTAAATCTTTTGTTAACCAATGATAATAACACATTGATCAATTTATTGAATGTTGATAATTTTAACTGCAAAATTTGATTATAATAATGAACTTTATTCAAAATCTTAACTCGATTGTTATCTTTATTTGAAAAAAATTTCAAGTTGTAAAATACGTGAATAGTTGATGTAATAATAAGAATGTTCTGTTTAAAATGTAGAAAGTGAATCCTCATGAAGTTGAGAAAAAATCTGCTATATTATAAATCTAGTAACCAGAATATTAATTCATGTACAATTATATACATGTTTTTTTACTAAGAAAAATAATTTATTATTAGTTTTTATCTAGTGAAGTTTTTGAGAAAACTATTATTTTGAGCTGTTTATTGCGATCTTGATATATATATATATATATGTGTGTGTGTGTGTGTGTTTATAAGTTTTATCTCTTAGTCACAAGAATCTGAATATATATCTAACCTTTATTTGATACTTAAAATATTAGTAATTAATCTAAGATCATCAAACATATTCAATCATGATACACTCAACACTTCTATCATAATTACAATGATAAAAGAAACATCGTATCAAAACAAAATATTCAATTGAAATATCCAATTTTCATCATCAATTTTCAAAACAGATAATTGATAAACATATAATAATGCAAACATATATAATATATTCAAATATCTACTTACATGCATAAATATTGTTTCCAATAAAAGATAAGGAAGTTGTTTTGATAAACAGATTTTAGATTCATAATTTTTGTGATGTTTTATTATTTTTTAATCATTTTTTACCGCAAATAAAACATCACACTAAAAAATAACAGGACAGGATATATTATAACAAGATAAATTATTTAATGAAAATAATCATTTGATCTTCAATTATCAAATAAATGTTACCAAAATTATGATTCTAGTGCAATTTTTGCATAATTATATGCGTGATGCATTTGAAAGAGGTGTTGTTTCAGTAACACATTATATCAATAAAACTAGTGTTAGACAAAGTTCAATTGACACAGCTTTTTTTGTGATATTAAAATACATTAACTCATGCAAGAATCTGGATATTTCATGAATTCTTGATTTATGGTTTACTTATATGTCAAATTATCTGAGAGAGTTTAAAATATAATCAAGATAATGATGGTGAATTTTGAGCATTTTAACAAGAGTCTCATAGATGAAAGTCAAACATATTAAATTGATGAAATTAATATATTTTAGACAAGTCATATTTTGGTTGAAGAGATATCATGATTTGTCTACTTTGAATATGAGTGTTTTGATTGAATTTAACTATACTTCAATGAAATATAAAGAACAAGTAAGTTGAAAAAGTCAATTTGTATTGTTGAAAATCAAACAACATACTTGTAAAACAACTTGAAAACTATCATATGCCATAACATGTTAGGTTAGCTTCTTAATAACAATCTATGCTTAGTCATTTTTACTCTCTAAAAATGAGTGAATATCTTAAATAGTAAAATAAAAAATAAGAATTTTAATAAAGATGAAAACTCTTTGATTTTATCAAAGATGAGAATGTTATTATCATTTTAGGTGTAGAGATAAAAAATTAAATGGAAAGTCATATAGTTTTCAAGAATTATACCTAGAATTGTTGACTAATATATCTTGAACAAGAAGAAATGGAGGTTTGATGTAGGTTTTCTCCAATCATGTCAAGATATTTGATGTGCAAGAGTCATCAGAGTACTAAGTGTGGCCAAGGTCAATTGATGGTAAAATTGAGATTAAAGTGATGTTTCATAGATTACAGATCTCGAAATACTATTTAGAAGTACAATACCACATACATTGTGTAAGTGAGTATCTTCACTTGTATGTTGGCTACATAGAACTCTTTGGTAATATTTGAATAGTTGGGCTACTATATGAATTTGAATTTAGTTGGGTCAACGAAGAACTTTGCAGGATTATCTTCAAAGTATTTCACTTCCGAAATAGATTACCTACTTATGTGGTAGGTATGCATAGTCAACATCTTTATACAAGACTCTTGGTGATACATTCATTTAGCTGCTTTGACTA